AATAGTCAGCTCAGGAGCGACTGGGTTGCTGTTGAAGCCTGGGTTCTTGGATTGTCTGAACAAGCCATTTCTTCACTTCAAACAACCCATGAAGAGAACCCATGTTGGTTTTGGACTGTGGGTTATTCACCAGGGTTTGTTATCTTGGCTGGGTTCAGACAACAGGATAATTCACATTCAAGAACCTTCATTGTGGTGACAACCCCCATTCAACCCATACTCAGCCCCTTTTAGGTTATCCTGTCTGAACCTAATCTGTTTTTTATGGATTCAGTGAAGAAATCATACACGTAATGGTTTTTATCGTATCTCCTTTGTATGGTTTTGATCATGGGTGCTGTCTCGGGAGGGTCCCACCCTGAAAGTGGTCTACAAGTAATCACAAAGAAGTACACAGCCTGTTTGTTTACTGCAAAGAGAAGCCAAAACCAGTGTCCAAAGCCCAGAGTGGCACAAATTCTTTGACATAAAAGTCTCAGTCGCGTCCAGGCCGGCTGCAACATTTTAATGCCTAAGGCAGAAGAGCCAAATAACATTCTTCCACTCATGTGGTTAATGAAGCTGGGACGGGATCCGTAGAAAGCTCCTGCAGAATTTGAAATTACTGAGAGCTACAATGGGGGCACTGTCCATTTCTCTTCGACTTTTACAAAAAACGACCCCCCCCCCGGGGCATCCTGAGCCGACCAGCCGGCTCCCAGGCGTCTGAAACACATGCAAAGTGCTATTAACAGAAATAGTAACGATAGTCGTGGTGGTGGTGAGACCGCGGCGCAAGGTACGGAAAAGATGCAGGCGCGGGCGCGGGCGCACGTTTGCCTATGCAAATGGCCATAAGTGCGAGGATCTTACAGGGAACCTGTTGCAAAATTCGCAGTTGTAAAGCGGGAGAAGAGGACAGCGGATCCGATTTAAAAACCTCAGGCGGAAAGATGCAAGCGGGAATAGAAGCAGAGAAGCACGGGGGGGTAACGCCCGCTCCTCCCGGGGGATCCCACCCCCTCGGGGCCCCCCAATGTGCGCCTCAGCAAGTGCCCGTGAGCCGCAGGGCGGAGGGGCAGCGGGCCCCGCGGAGATTCGGCGCTCCAGCCACGGCGGGCCAACCCTGAGCACCGCCTCTCGTGATGATAAAACGACGAGGAGAGAGAAGCAGCAACACCCGTGAAATAAAATGGCAATGCCAAGCAGAGGAGCGGGGATGCCGCTGATAAAAACAACAGGAAAAATGAGGATATAAACAATAATACGCCGCTTCTCAAGCTGCTACTCCCCCTGCATGTCCCCCACCAGGCCACTAGATGTCGCCCTCTCAACAGGCACCTCCCCCCTGAGCGTGTTGGTTCGTTCCTTTTCCCGTCCTCCCCCCTCCGCCCCTATGGGCTCTCCGGCGCCTCCAGCGGCCGGGACGCCGCGCTCGCCGAAGCCCGGCCAGCTCCGCCCCCTCCCGCTGGCGAGCCAGTGGCCGCGGCGGCCCGTCACGTGGCCCGCTCGCGGCCAATCGCCGGCCGCGAGCCGAGGAGGAGGGGGCAAGGCAGGGAAAGAGGGCGGCCTTTCCGCCTCTGCCGCGGCCGCCATTAGAGACGAGCGAGCGAAATAAAACCTGAGGCGCCGAGGCGAGGGGGGTGGCGGAGGAGGCGGCGCCGCCGGCGGCGGAGACAGGCCCGCAGGTCGGACGGGGGCGACGGAGCCCTCCCGCGGGGCTCGCCGGACATCGAAGCGGCCGAGGGCACCCGGCGCTCAGGATGCCTCGGCTGGGCAGCCGCCGTCAGAGGCACCGCTGAGGGGAGGCGCCGGCGCCCGAAGACGGAGACGCAACCGGGGGCGGCCGTCGTCGCGGGGCGGCCCTGCCCGCCCGCCCGGCGCCTCGAGCCTCCACCTGTCACGGCTCCTGAGGGAGGAGGGCGAGTCCCGATACGGACGCCCCCTCCGCCGAACAGGGAAGGGGCCGCTGGCCCGCCAGCCGCCTGATTCGGGGGGCACGGTATAGACCCGGGGAGAGGCGGGGAAGGCTTTGTTCCAAAGTTGCTTTCCCGCCCCCCCGCCCCCCCCCGCACTTCCAGACACTTGTCATACTGGAGAGGAAATCCTGCTTTTTGGCTGGGCTTGTTTTCTTCCCCCTCACCCACATCCCACTCCTCCAGTGTCAGAAGAGCCTCATCTTGCCAGGAGGACCGAGGAGAACTCCATATATATATAGATTTGTTGCTCTTTCTCAGTTCAGACATTTCTGCTGTATCCTCTCCAGCATCAGAACGAGGAAAAAGGAGAAGCTGCTTATTCCGGCCTGAAGGAAAAGACGGGGGGAGAAAGAACCTATTTTTCTTCCTCTTCAAGTCCATTGATGCCTTTTTGATTATTTATTTTCTCGAGTTTTTTTTCCTGACTCAACCCAGCCCCTTCTCTTCCAGTGTTTCAAGAAGAAATAGTGAAGGGAAGGTCTGTGTATCTATCTGAAGTAGAGAAAACTCGCTACTGTCCTTGCTTCGCAGCGGAAGAACAAAATCCATCCTCTACAAATATCCCCGACACAGAATCTTGACTTGAGGAATTAATCTTTGTTTTTGGACGGGGAGGTACTAAGTTTTTCTCTTCCCAACACCAGGCTTCCAAACACATTTGTTTCTACTGGGGGAGGGGAGAACCCACTATCTTTTACTCTCTACTGTCTGAAAAAGGAGAAGGAAAGGAAAACCACACTTGTTAACTTGCTCTCTTGCTCTTTTTAACCCTCCCCCATCTCTGCAAGTATTCCTGGCATGAAAGATTGATCCAAGGAATAAGTTTTGGGTTTTCAAGGATTTTTTGGCGTGTACGGAAGAGGAAACAAGGAGTTTATCCACTTTTTTGCTGTATCCAGAAGCAAAAAGACCCTTCGATGGACTGAAGACAGGAGTGAAAGAGCTTGGATGAGGTTTTTATTTCAAGAAGTAGCTTGGAAGGAGTTTTTCCCATTCACCTACTCTCTCTCCTTTTCAACAAGGCCTATTTGGAGAAACCTCAACCACACTTCAAGAATATAGAGTGCTTGGAACTGGAGTTTTGTGTGTTGGAGTCTTGAAAACAAGCTTTCCCCCCCACTTTCTATAAAATATAAAGGTGTCTCGGTCTCTTTAATTTTGTGAAAGATCACCATCCACCTGGAGGAAGTTAGTTTTTTTTTTCACCTTTAGTCATTACCTGCCTCTTACAAATATCAAATTGACTCAAGATCCAGCAAGAGGCAACACACACCCAGCTGGATTTCATTTCACCTTGAGATTGAGGATTTTAAGGGAGAAACTTGGAGCTTTTGAGGAAACTTGGAAGGCTCCCATTTCTCAATTTAAAGGAACAACTCCTCTCCCTCTCTCTCACCCTTCTTGCAGAAAGACAAGAAGGAAAACTATTTTGGAAAGGGAAGACTGGCCAGTTAAAAACACACTTTCTAGACAAAAACCCCGATCTAGAGACCAGAATTTTATGCTCTTTCCTAAATGGCTTAACATTTTAAATTTTTGTTCCTGGGAAGCAAACAGAAGCAAAAGCAACCTTCCACATTTTCCTTTTAAGACTTTGAGAAGAAAAGAGTAAAGCCTTCGCTGGGTCCCTTTTCTTTCCCTCTCCAGTCTTTATTTTGGGACCATTTTCAGTCCTCTAAACCTGAAATCCAGTGTGACAGGAAGAAAAACGACCCCCCCCCCGAGAGAGAGAGAGAGAAAGATTCCTGGATTATTTCCCACCCACCTTCCAATTTCTGGATTATTTGTGTGTCTCTTCCTTGCGCTCCCTTCCTTTGCAGATCGAAGACCGTAAATCTTTTTTTTTTTTTTTTGCAGCCCCCTTCGGATTAAGTACCCCAATCTTCTCCCACCCCCTTCCCCCACCCTCCTCCCCTCCCTCCCTCCTTCCGTCCTTCCCTCCTTCCGTCCTCCCTCCCCCAGGATTCATTTTGGCTGTGAAATTGATCTCTCTCGACGAAGATTTGATATCCCCCCCCCGCCATTTTCGCAAGCCCTCTTCCTCCCGCGGAGCCTCGCCGGCTTATTTATTCCCCCGCCTCGCCTCCCTCGCCTCCCCTGCCTCGCCTCGCCTCCCCTGCGCGCCGTGCGCCCCCTCCCCAGCCCCAGCGCCCCTTTAATACCGCCCCCTCCCCTCCCTCCCCTCCCCTCCCCGCAGTATGTGTGCGCTCGCGTGTGTGTGCGCCTGAAAGCGCGCCCGCTGCCGTGTGTCGCCCCCCCCCC